GCCAAGTTTTCTTTTTTCATATTCATAATCATTGTAGTATCATTGTTTATTTTTGAATCAGTATTTAAACACAGGATTACACAGTACCACAGAAATCAGAGATATGAACTGAGTCTGAAGCTGCTCAAGTAATTCAAGCTTTGGGGAATTTTAACAAATTATGATGAATTTTCTGCTGAAGGTATCTTAGTAGTAAACTTTCAACTGCAAGAATATTTGAAGCTGCTAAAGCTGACTCAAAGAAGAAAGACATGGACTGCATTGCAATTTCTGAAATGTATTATGAAATGGGATTTTCACAAATATCTGATAAACTTAATCTTTATTGTAAAGTTCTCCTATTAACATATGTTTTCTCATGTGAAAGAAACATTTGAAATTAAAATAAATAAAAAGTGTCTTTCAATCAACTATAAAAGAAAGTAGATTAACAAATCTGGCTATACTGAGTGTTCTGATTGTGAAGATGTGGAGATCACTTTAACAAAGTCATTGACAAATACGCAGAAGTGAAGTTTCAGCATCAGAAACTGCAACGGGGTTATTCATGACAATAGACCAATGTACTTAAAGTCTTAACTGTATTGCTATGTATGCAAAATTTATTAAATGAATGCTGTCACTGTATACATTTCCTTTCTGGACATAATAATTATTTGTGTCATTTAATAGTTATTACCGAAGCTACTTCTGTCATAAAGAAAAAGCTCTTTAAAATGATCCCTTCTGGGCCCTCCCTGGTGGCGCAGTGGGTTAAAGCACAGCACTAAGAAGCTAAAGGCATTTCAGCATGAGTTCGATCCCCCCCCCCCAGATGATCCACATGGCGCGGCAGACCTCTCCTGTCCCGCCTGCCCTCTGCTCCCCTAAGCAGTGTACTTGGTCAATCTGACTGCTCTGCCTCACTCTGTCTCTGGTGAAGCCTCTCACTACTCCTGCATCTCTGCCCCTGTACCCCAGTTTTGTATGCATAAATAAAGAAATCTTTTTTAAAAAACAATGATCCCTTCCAGGTGTCAAGTTTGCTAGGTCTGCCACTGTATCCATGTTTTCATTTTAACTCAAAACAAAACATAATTTCTGTCTTTTTAGTTCTACAACTATGTTTTTTTTTTAATTATACCAAAAAACAGTTTATTTTAATAAGGCAAAATCTTGGACTCACTCTGGTGGTGCAGTGAATTAAAGCACTACACTATGAAGCCATCTGCAGCCTCTACAGTATGAGTTCTATCCCTGGCCAGGGAGCTGACCCACATGGCGTGGCAGACCTCTCCTGTCTTGGTGCTGCTCCCCTCAGCAGTGTGCTTCCTCAGTCTTCCTGTTCTGCTCCCTGCCCTGTCTCTGATGAATCCTCTCATCATCCCTGCATCTCTGGCCTGTACCCCAGTTCTGTATGTATAAATAAATAAATCTTTTAAAAAGTAATAAGGCAAACTTTTAATAATAAAATAAAAATAGAACTGTACTTAAATAGAGCTCCTATCCACTATATTTTGGTAATAATTATATTTCTAATAAATGGATACTCCATGTCTTAACTGTTTTATGAAACTTAATAAGATGAAAAACAAAACCTGCTAAAATTTGTACATGAAGACACATAAATTGTGACTATCTTATAACAACTAAAATAAGTTGAATTTCTAATGAAGTATCTTCCACTACAGGTCTGGAGATTTTCACTGTTTAACTGACAGATATTTAAGGACCATCTTTATACCTTTTCAGAAAACAGAAAAAAAAAAAAAAAACAGGAACTGCATTCCAATTTAATTTACCAGGCCAGTGTAACTTTGATATTATGAGAGCGACACAACTTTCATATCAAAACATGAACAGGAAATTAGGAGGAAACATTTCTGGACAACTTCTCCTATAAACACATCTACCAAAATTCTCAGTATGAGTAAGCAAAGCAATGTGTACAAAGAGTAAAATGTTAAAAATAATTTCAGTTTTTTGTATAATTTTAGTTTAACATTAGAAAACCAATCAGAACAATTAGCCACATTAACGGAATAAAGGGGAAAACTACATTATCTTATGGAAAAGCAATTGATTAAAGTCAACATTTGTTTATAATTAAGTGTATATTTTGGAAAATTAAGAACAGAAGAGAGGGAACTTTAACAAAAGATATCTACAAAACACCAATAGGAAATACTATGGAAAAATTGCAAGTTTTCCTTCTGAGAGCAAAAATAAGACAAGTCCTGGAGTTGTCACCACTTCTACTTATCAGCCTTGCACTAGAGGCTAAGTCAATGTAATCAGGAAAGAAAATGAATCAGAAGAAATAAATAAATAAGACTTTCATTATTTGGTAATGCTATATATATTGAAAATCCAAACTATTCTTTTTTTTGAAAAATTTATTTATTTATGCTTACAGAACTGGGGTACAGGCCAGAGGTATGGTGAGTGAGAGGATTCACCAGAGATAGAGTGGGAAGCAGAACAGGCAGATCAACAAAGGGGAGCAGTGTGAGGGGAGCAGTGTGCAGATAAGGAGAGGTCTGGCAAGCCATGTGGGTGAGCTCCCTGGCAGGGGATTGAACTTGTGCTGCAGTAGCTTCAAAGAGCTCCATAATCTGGTGCTCTAACCCATTGCGCCACCAGGGAGAACCCAAAAAATCCAAAGATTCTATATATTAGGCTTTGATGAGATTAATAAAATTGTACCTAGAAACCTGGTTAATGAATTCATTTAATTCTTGTTCTATATTTACAGATTTTTTTTTTTAAAGATTTATTTATTTGTGCATACAGAACTGGGGTACAGGCCAGAGGCTCAGGGGCGGTGAGAGGCTTCACCAGAGACAGAGTGGGGAGCAGAACAGGCAGATCGACGAAACACACTGCTGAGGGGAGCAGCGGGTGGGTCAGGAGAGGTCTGCCACACCATGTGGTCACCTCCAGGGCAGGCGGGAATCGAACTCATGCGGAAGCGGCCTCAGATTCTCAGTGCTGTGCTTTAACCCGCTGCGCCACCAGGGAGGCCCTATTTACAGATTTTTAAAGTTGCATCCTGTGACAAATAATAACAGGGGGACAAGAGGAAAAATATTTACAAATACTTTTAAATGTAATAAATTTTAAGTTAAATTGTGAAAAAAAAAGACATTGCTGAAAAACATTAAAAACACAAATTAATGAAAAACATTAAAAACACAAATTAATGAAAGGCTATAATGCATTCACATTTTGGAAGACTCAGCAGCTGTTAAATATTCAGTTTTCAGGAAACTGAGCCTTAAAAATCCCAATAGGTTTGTGTGTGTGTGTGTGTGTGTGTGTGTGTGTGTTGTATAAGGAAGAGAGAGAAAAAGGAAATTGAAAAAAATCTTTAAAGATTATATTTATGTATGTACATGAAAATTCAAAATATCAGATATAAATAGGTAAGACACTCTTTAATAGGTGAAATAAGGTAGGAATGTTTGTGCCACTGGATAGTAATACTTTTATGCCTATAATGATTAAGATAGTATAGTACAAGAGTAAAAATAGATAAAAGATCAATGAAGCAAATCAGAATCCACCATTTAAAGCTCGTACCATTTAAATAAAACAGCTATATATTAAACAAGACACAAAAAGTGCCAATGATAGAAATAAGAACCTCCATTTATCAGGTATATATGGAGAACATTACAAGTTTATATATTAACAATCCAATGAAAAATGAACAGAAGACTAGAATAGGATAGGATTCACCCAAAAAAGAATACCCTAATTGCCAGCAAATACAAGAACAGGTCTTTAGTTTCTTTAGCAATCAGAGAAATGCAAAATAACTACCACAGTTAAATACCACTACATTTTCTGCAGAATAGTTAAAATTTAAAATACTATCAATCCCAAATTTGGTTGAGGGTGTTGAGCAAAAAGAATTCTCATTCGCTGTTAGAATGAAAATCCTTCATAGAGAGAAATTAGAAACAACACATGTTCCTAACACTTCATATATTCAACTGGCAAGCACTAACCTATGATGTCTCAACTTCCCACCCAGGTATAAGCCATGTCTAGTTTTCAAAAAAAGAAGTGAGGCTCCGGGAAGTCAATGCTCTTTTATAAACTTATAAATCTCCTTAATGATAGAGCTAACGCCTAAACAAGTCTTTCCAATTCAGCCTCCGTTCTTTTCACGAGAGCTATAAAAGCAGCCATTAAAAATGTAATGCTCAATACCGGATGATTTCGCTCATAGCAGGAGTATAATGGACCAAGCGAGAAAATAATAATAATAATGAACAGTCATATACCAGAGACATTTTGTGGGGGTGGAGTGGGGAATGGGATCAAAAATGGGGTGTGGGGGCAGAGGGAAGTGCATGGGACTATGGTGATGTTACACGGGTGACTCGGTGATAGGAAACTCACGGGGATTACAATTGAGATAAAAAAAAGTACAAAATGATATAAAAATAAACTATTATATTTAAAAAATAAATAAAAATGTAATGCTCTGGGCCCTCCCTGGTGGCGCAAAGGTGGCCGGCCGCAGCCGCTTCAACATGAGTTGGATCCCCAGCCTAACCAGAGAGCTGATCTGCAAGTGCAACAGACCTCTCCTGACCCACCCGCTGCACCCCTCAGCAGTGTACTTCATCAGTTTGCCTATTCTGCTCCCCACTCTGTCTCGGGTGAATCATCTCACTGCCGCTACACCTCTGACCTGTACCCCAGTTCTGTATGCATAAATAAATAAATCTTTTTTCAAATGTAATTTTCTGTTTTCTTTACTCTTTGTACATACTTAGAAATAACACTCTAACTATATTATTTGATGTCTTTTGTTACATTGGAAAGGCAATGTGACATGAGAAAGAAGTTCAGATCTTTGCTGTAATCTCTTTCGTAGTTGCTTTGCTTTTGTGTTGTATTTTATTTACTGAACATTATTGTACAAACATATTTACACATTTGCCTCTCACTATTAGGCTCTGTATTCTTGAGGGTAACCTCTTATCTTCATTTCTTTATATCTATAGTATATCACACAGATGTCTGTCAAATGAATGGATGAACTTTGCTCTTCAACATTTTGTCTCAGAGCTGGTAAGTCTCCATTTTAAACCTTTTAAACAAAACTTGAAATTTCTCTGCTATCTTCCAGCAGGACAACAGTCAAATCAGGTTCTGAAAGAAAAATTCTACTTCCTTTTTCCATATGAAATGATTCATAATTTTAATTCCTGTTGCTTTTTATTTTTAAAAAAGATTTATTTACTTATGCATATAGAACTGGGGTACAGACCAGAGGTGCAGAGGTGGCGGGGAGCGTTGGGAGGGGTTGTGAGGGGGGAGAGGATTCACCAGAACAGAATGGTTAGCAGAATAGGCAGACTGAAATACACTGCTGAAATACTCTCCTGGGAGAGACAGGAGAGGTCTGCCACCCCATGTGGGTCACCCCATGTGGGTCACCTTCCTGGCTGGGGAATGAACTCTTGCTGCAGTGGCTGCGATAGCTTTGCAGTGCTGTGCTTTAGCCCGTTTAGCCACCAGGTAGGGCCTCCTGTTGCTTTTTAATTTACACACTAAGTTCGCAAACTATATCCTAAGAGTCTCTTTTTGTGAAGGTATATCCTCTTGTGTTTGTATCTAATCAGCTATAAATATTTCTCTTAGAATTATGTTTGGTACATGACTCTCCCTCCTGTACATTTTTTTTTTTTAAGATTTATTTATTCATACAGAACTGGGGTACAGGCCAGATATGCGGAGGGTGAGAAGACCCACCAGAGACGGAGTGGGGAGCAGAACAGGCAGATCGATGAAGTACACTGCTGAGGGGAGCAGCGGGCGGGTCAGGAGAGGTCTGCCACACCATGTAGTTACCTCCGGGGCAGGCAGGGATCGAACTCATGCGGAAGTGGCTTAAGCTTCTTAGTGCTGTGCTTTAACCCACTGCACCACCTGGGAGGGCCACCTCCTGTACATTTTTTTAAGACCTATTTATTTATGCATACAAGAGCATGGGTACAGGCCAGAGGTATCAGGGAGCTGAGAGGATTCACCAGAAAAAGAGGGTAACAGGAGACCCACTGAAATACGCTGTTGAGGGGAGCAGTCGGGAATACAGGAGAGTCTGCTGTGCTGTAGGGGTCAGCTCCCTGGCTGGGGATCAAACAGATGCTGCACTGGCTTGATAGTGTTGAGAATTACTCCCTTGTGCCACCAGGGAGGCACCCTGTTGTACATTTGTATTCGGGTATCAACTCATTTGAACAGAAAGAGCTTCCTTTTGACTATATTTATAAAATCTAAGTTTTATAGAAGAAAAATCTAAAAACACATATCTTGTAGTATATTAGCAGTAAATACATTTCTCTTGTAAAGGTTTTTTGTAACCTAGACAGACTCTACGCACATGAATGAGAGAATGATATACAGGCCTACAAGATGCTTTATACTTGATAGACCTCTTTTTAGCCAATTAAATGTTCATCGGAATATAATGAATAATTATAATTTTTAAAAGTCATGTTAAAAATAAAGACATATTATTTTAAAAAAAATACTATAATTGACCTGAGTGAGTGACATGTGGTCTGCTGTAATTGCAGTGATTTATGAGAAATGACAGTTTACACTTTGTCATCTTTAATGCAGTAACCCTACAAGCTTGATTCTATCATTATCCCTATAGAGCAGGCAGGGGAAGTGAGACACACCAGTAAATACTTGCTCGTTGTCACATGGCTGATGGGTAAAACTAAGCAACCTGACTCCAGAACATCTACTTTCATTGCCTGATATAATAGTTCATACTTACAAGGAAAACATATAAGAAAAACTGCTTTGTGCAGGAATACTTGATCTAAATTTCACAGCACCCTCATTACCCAGCGTTTAAATTAGTCTAGATAATTTGGAAAGCACTGGGATTACTGATGATTAAATCTTGAGGACCAATAAAGTTTGAAAATTTACAAATATGTTTTGATGAAGTCTGAGATTTCAGATATATAATAATGAGTAGTTTTTTATCCTTCTTAATGACTATTAGAAGTTAAAATGCTCTGTGAAACTTCTTTTTCTCAAAATGACTCTGAAGACATTGACAGTTAAGTCTGCTCTGGGTTTATATAAATGTTTTCAGTACTGCACTCATTTATACCTTGTTTGGGGAAAATTTTGTATAGATTTGAAATATTCTTATTTGGCATCTTGACTCTGTCAGAAAAGGGAAGTGAAATTAATCACAGGGAATAAAACCCATCTGTGTTTTCCTGCCACAGACTTGATATGTTTGGTGTCCTATTTAACCATGTTTTTTGTTTTGGCTCCCTTTATCTTTCAATGTTTCAGTGAAACATTGAAAATTTGGACCTACCTATTCAGAATTCATTTATAGAGTAAAAAAAGATTAACTCTGGCATAAGTACAGAGAGAGTAGAATTTGACCCACACCCAGCCAGCATCTGCAGAATTCTTGTTACTTCATTTGCAGAATCCATGTAGTTTATTCCATTCACAAAGCTGTGGAGTGATTGGAAATTTTTTCCATTTTCCAGCAAAGCACCATACAGGCAACAGCATGTTTATAAAAAGAAAGCAGCTTCGTGCCCATTAATCAAGATTCTCTAGCTTCCCACTGTAAGGGTCCACTGTAAGGGTCTGCCTGCTTGCTCAGCTCAATCTAGAACTACAAATCTCTCTATTAGAGCAAACAGAAATATTTTCTCTAATCTTTGTTTTATTTGTCTCATGTGTCTTGTGCTGAAAGTTATGTTCATCTGTAGTCATTTACTAGTAACATGCTCCTGTTTGGTTGATAAATTATTTTGTCTTCTTGTCTGTAACTGGCTGAGAAAGTCCAGGTTGGGATCTCCTCCACCCTAACCATGTCCATCTGCTCACCATGTTCCATGGCCATGTGTATTGAGCTTTTCATCTCCCATAGCTGATGTGGCCACGCTATGCTTCCAAGAACTTACATAATGTTCAATCTTACAACATTTACAAGTTGTGAGGAAACATAGACCCACCCACAAGTCATATCATTTCCCCCCATTTTTCCCTTTTTTTTTTTAAAAAATCTCATGGTTTATTTCAATTGAATTGAAAAAAAAAATCCTTATTTTTTTGTTTATTTTTTTGAAGGAGAGTAATATATAATATTATTATTATATAATATTAATAATATAACATATAACATTGTTGATATTAATAATATCACATATAATATCATATGATATAATACTATATATAATAATATATTATTATATAATATTATAATATTATATATAATATAATATATAATAAAAAGGAGAGTAATTTAGAAAGGAACATTCTACCAATAAACCAAACTTTTTTTTTGAGCCATGAGAAATTATCATTTTGTTGTTGTTTTAACAGGATGTGAAATGATCAGGGTTATGCTTTAGGAATATTAACCTGACTATTGTGTTTTGAATGGATTAAAGAGCGAAGTGAATAAGGCCATGAAAAGTAATTAGTGTGCTTGTATCTTTTTGTGGAATAAGAAGGTAGTGAAATCCTGAACTAGGTAAGTAGCAATGGAAATGATTAGAAAGGAGAAAGTTGGCAGGACTAACTTAGCAACAGGATGAAGTTGAAAGAGAAGGGATTGTCAAAGGTAACTGATGTTTCAGGGTGCCTGTTGTCCAATCTTAGTCTTAATGCTCTCTAGAAATATGGACCAACAGAAGAATTCCATTCTGAAGTTAGAAGGCCAGCAAAATATCCAAAGATGTATTTATCCATGCAGTGGAAATGCAGGGGCTATGTTTTTTCAAACCCCTTAACCTTAGTCTATGAAAACTGATGAAGTTTCTATGTGAGTTGGTAGCATAGGAAGGTAAGAGAGGCATGGGATTTTACACACTCTCTGAGAAAAAAGGATTTACGAGGAATATAAGAGAACTCTTGAAATTACAAAGTCACTGAACACAACAGAAGAGTTTCATGCAGAAAGTTTATCTACTTGGGGTTTGTTGAATCTCTTGCATGTGCAGATTTAGTCAAATTTAATAAGTGTTCAGATATTACTTTTTCAATTTTTTTTTCATCTCCCTTCTCCATTTTTGTCTCTTGTGGACTTCCCATTCTGTGTCTAATTTGTTCTACATTGTGTTAGTTTACATAGAACTTGCAGACTGAGAAAAGAGTTTTTTATTCATTAAAAGCTATTAAAATTGGTTAGTAGTGTTGATACTAACCATAGTAAAGATGAACTAAGCTATAGTTTAATTGAGCACCAAACTATAACGCAATGTTTAACAGAGCATTTTCTGCAACTCAGCACAAGTTTAATTCTTTGTCTACCTTTCCCTTTCCTCCTAAACACTCAGTACATTAATAACTCTCTCATCACAGATTTGTGAATGCTTTCCTCTTGCTGAATCCCAAGTCTCATGAATAGAAACTATCAGAGCCCCTACTTGTTTTATTTTTTTAAAGATTTATGCATACAGAACTGAGGTATAGACCAGAGGTGCAGGGGCTGTGAGAGGATTCACCAGAGACAGAGTGGGGAGCAGAACAGGCCGACTGACAAAGTACACTGCTGAGGGGAGCAGCAGGCAAGACAGGAGAAGTTTGCTATGCCAAGTGGGTCACCTCCCAGGCTGGGGATTGAACTCGTGCTGAAGCGGCTGTGACTGGCTTCCTAGTGCTGTGTTGTAACCCATTCTGCCACCGGGGAGGGCCCTCAGAGCCCCTATTTTAACAGAGCAGTGATCTAATGTCAGCTAGGCGATTTAATATCCAGATGTCCTAGAAGTAGCAACGTAGCCTTTGCTGTCACCTGTGAGAGAAGGCAAACTCTGAAAGTATAGCAGAAGTTGGCAACTTATTAACATTTAAATTCCTAGAAACCATTTTTATAGTTGATTATTGTATTACGTTGTTATTGGCTAAGCAATTCCTCCCTCATCTAACTACATGGTTATACATTATTATAGTAGTATTTGTTATTAGTAGGAGTTTATTTTTTTAAAAGATTTATTTCATTTATTGATGCATACAAGACCTGAGGTGTAGGCCAGAGTGCAGGATGTAATAAGATTCCCCAGAAATAGAGTGGTAAG